GTCATCAAATTAAATATTAGGGTGGGGCCGATTCTGTATGGAAACACGCTCATACCCTTTGTGTAATATTGATATATGATTCGGAAGATATTTCTTCCCTCTCTAAAAAGAATGTATAAAAGTAATATAACTTAAAATGTAATAATTACATTCCATTTATTTAAATATGCTATTATTTTTCTTACAAATAAAACATTATAGCACAAAATTAATAAAGTTCTTGGAACTTTATATTAATGGTATTAGTTTCGAACATTTGCTATAATTCCATAAGAATAATAGCTTGAAATACTCATTACGAAATCGAAGCACGTTTCACCAATGCTATTGAAAATTCTCTTCATGAATTGCTCAATTGTAAAATTTTGGCTTAGAATACTCTTGCATTTCTACTTAAGTTGCATAATGCTGTACTTAAGTATAAATAATGTATTTGTTGATGAATACAAGAATAAACATTAACGCAAGTAAATCAAAGTACAAAAATTATTTCTATAATAGAGTAGTTCGATTTTCTTTATACGCAAGATCATAGGATGTGTAAAAATTACTCATAAAGTAGGGCGGGGCACAAAGGTCCAATTTGACTTTGAGCAATTACATTGTGGAAAATAAACTAATTACATCACAAAAAACACATATCAAACAAACCTATATAACTATATATCATTATAAAAAATGTGTTTTTTGCTGTTTTTCAAATATTTGTAATATAATTCTTTTCATCCCATAGGTGGGTTAAATTGGGACGGCCAAAGGGCAAAGATATCCAATGTCTTATTTTAATTTTAAGGGATTTTACATAATAATAGCTACATTATTTTTAAATTTATTTATAAATAAATTTAATTATATCAATATTTATATAATTTTGCTAGTATCCTATTACTATTTCATTAATTTAATTTTTACGGTTTTGAATCAGTATAACTTTCAACCTTGTGCAAGAATTTTGGGCTTGACTGGTGGTCTAATAGATTTCAATATGATAAACTTGATAATGAACATTGTATTTAATTTTAGAAAACTTTTTTCAGCTCTTTTTTTAAAAAAAAATCAAAAAAATTAAAAAGAGTGTCGTTTACGATCAGCAGGTTTATCTAATTATTTATTTTATTAACAGTACGAAATGCCATTATCTGGGTTTTATAATTATTGAGTAAAAGATTATTGGATTTAAACCAATTCGACATTGGCCATTACTAAATTTAATTTGTTACTTATTTCTTCCAAAGAATTTCCCTTAACAATAATACTAGTGTCATCAGCAATGAGAATAAATTTACAAAGATCTGAACAATTTGGTAGATCATTTATATATATAATAAGAAATTATAAATGACCAAGTAATGAACCTTGAATTTGTCTGATATTATTACCGAACCATCATCACCGCCCAAGTAAACAGACTGAGTCTTGTTTGGTAAATAAGTCAAGAGCTAAACCATGCACGCCGTATTTTTCAAGCTTATTACAAAGGATATCATGAGAGATACTATTAAAGACTTTAGACAAGTCACAAAAAAATATAATGCAAAAGCTACCATCTTCAAAACAATTAACAATATCATGTAATAAAGTGTATATAGAATGGGATGTTGAAAATGTTGTTGAAACATTTTTGTCGAAATCCAAACTGATTTTTAAATATAATACCGTTTTTTGTTAAAAAATTATTAAGGCGACTATGTAATATTTTTTCAAAAATTTTATCAAAAGTATTTATTAATGCAATTGGCATGTAATTATTAATTAAACCAGTAACCCCTTTCTTATAAAGGGGCTTTCGAATATAAACTTTTGAATGTTTAAGATGATTTGGATAGGTACCTTTATCGATAGCGTTATTAAAGCATATGAGAAGTTTATCAATAAATAATGGAAAAAATGTTTTAAAATGTCAGATAAAATTTCATCTGGTCCTGAAGAATTAGAATCATTTAGAGAAAAAATTGCATGCGACAATTCCTCGGAGGATATAGGATATAGATAGTAAAATTTTAATTAGTTTTTATTTTAGAAAAGATTTCAATTGAAATGACCGGATCAAGAGTTATACTTAAAGTCAAATTAAAAGCTACATTATCAAAAAAATATTAAATGTGTTGACAATTGAAAGCTGATCATAAATTTTTATATTATTAATAATAAGGCATTCAATATTAGTAGAATTTACATTAAAGTTAACTTCCGATTCTATGACATATTCTATAAAAATAATATTATCATTGTACTTAATTTTTGCTAGTTCACATAAATCGATGAAAATTTCTCAAAAATAAATCATAAAACTAAAATTACTATTATGTTTGGATACTCTTTCTAAACGCAATAATTTATTATATGGAATTCATAGACCTTGAGAGTACCACGTTTGAGTTTTATTGACGTTCATTTTATGTTTTGATATAGGAAAAGTAGTGTTGAAATTATGTAAAAAAGAATTTATAAATGTATCAAACGTATGATCGTTAGATTGATCCAACACATTCCAAGTCTTTTTTTTCTAATAGTTCCTTGAAATATAATTTATTTTTTATGTTAAATTTTCGGGCCAGCAGTGGCGATATGGGTTAGAGCGTGGGCTAACAGCAACTAGTCCCGGGTTCACTGGTTGGATTCCCGCTACCGCCGTAGCCCGACATCAGGCAGCTTTGATGTCAAATTTACACTTGGGGTTTTAGATCACAATATAATTCTAAGTGGAAATCGTCCTTCATAGGCATAGCTGCAACATCCAATCATATGTTAACTATTGGACGTAAGAGCTAATATCAAAAATATCCCACACATAAGACAATGGTAAATCGATGGATTGCCTCTCATGAAATACATAAGTAGTCATAAGTCTTTAACAAACAAACAGATTATAGAACATCTAAATGTTCTGATTGCTGTTCAAATAACAAAAAAAAAGTTAAGGTTCCTTTTATACCGATACGTATAGGAAGGAGAATTAGTAGTATTAGGCAAAGATAGTGAAATTCTATATTGGTCAGAAATACCGGTATTAATGACAAAAAGTTTACCGTAGATATGTTTGTGCAAGAATTATCAATACACTATGAGGAAGAGTTAGTTATTCTTTTAGGGTCTTTAATAGTAGAAAATAATCCGAATGATTCTATGCTAAATTATCTAAACTTATAAACTTTTTAACGTCTTGGTCAGGAGATCTGTATGCACAAACAACACAAAACGTGCTATTGAGAAAAATGGGTTTTGATAGCAAAAAATTCAAATACTTTTTCTATAGGCAAAATATTAGTTCTAGTACTATTATATTTCATTTTTGTTGAAGCACCGCCGCGTTTGAAGACATTTTGGGCAAAGAAGGATCATAAGTTATAACCATTTTGATTAATAAAAGTTTAGAGTCAGTTAACCAATGTTCAGTTAAGCAAAAAAAAAATTTGGTTTATGTTTAGTCAAAAGTAGTCAAGTTTGTTTAATTTGTTTGGTCAATTTTGTATGTTCTGACAGAGAATAAAGGAATTTATGTCACCAGCGAAAGTGAAAGGATTCGAAGTTACCGCAATTTATCGGAGGCAGCATATCTCTTGCGAGAATACGACAAAGCTTCTGTTTGGCACTGGAAATAAAATAAAGGCCGTGCCTGGTGTAGTTCGTTCTGTTAACGTACCTATTGATATCCAAGATCCTAACATTATAGAATTTACCACGACCAAAGTCATGAAAAGTGCAACGATTGGCGTTGAAAATTCTGGAATTTAGAGAATACTGGTCATATCGATAAGGAATTGTAACAATACAAAGATTTGTCTTGCTACATGAATGACGGGCTATCTCTAATGCATCTCAAATAGCATAATTAGATTTAGTGTCATTAGTTCCAGTCAAAACAATAACATGATCACGAGCACCAAAATTTGCAACAAGACCCGCGATACTAGCAACCACGCTAGAGAACCCTGTACCGTGATTGACCACTCCAAGCACACTGAATTTGGTACCTAACAGTCCACCCAAGAACTCGGACCAAGATTCGCCGTGGCTGTCAGACAAAATCAGTAGTTTAGGATTGGCCTTGGGAGAGAAGGAAGAAGGAAGTGTGGAAGACTCTTTGCCCGGTTTACCTGTACTGTTAACTGCTGGGGGTAATGCTCTTAATTCAGAACCTTTGAACTTGCGCTGTGCAACTTGGAATTGGCTATTATACTTTTTTTACTATCTACTTTTAAATATTGTTCTTAAAAAATCTTAACTTCACTGGTTTTCGAGATATCGGTAGTAGTTTTTTCTACCCGCGGACCTTTTGGATTTAATGACCTTTGTACCCGCAAATAAATTTGGGGTTGAATTAAGAGGCCATTGCCGCCGCCGATACCTATTTTAATCTAATTCGATCACAAATATCGAGCACATCTTTTGCACGGTTGATCCGTGCGCCCGAAATCGAGGACAAAAAAATATATCCAAACATACATACAAACACACAAACATATCATTTTTTTAAGGTTAGCCAAAATGTTCAGAAACCTTTGAAACGTAAGTATATGCAAAAAAATTCATTTTCTATTTTTTGCTATTACTATAACTTACCCTACGTTAAGTTAATGAAAATCAAAGCTTTAAATCTCAGATTAGGATGGCATTTGAAAAGACTATTAATATTTGTTAACATTGTTTTTCAGTGCGTAAACCAACCACATTATTTGTGTTTGCTTCCTCTTTTACTTCTATATAACATACTTCTAGATTCACAATCAGTTACACATTTTTTATATCAAAACTTTTCTAGAAATATGGCTAAACAACGTTGACTGCTACCTGCTACTAACATATCATCTTTGCTAATATATGTGCTTCTTCTCGAGTTTCTAATAAGAGACTTGTCGCATTCATCATAGGCAACAGAGCAGTTTTATTCTCTGACAAGACTGCTCACTTGTATTCGTTTTACTTAATCTATTTTGCCGATGTTAGAATTTTCTAGAAAGTTGAAGTTCTCCAGAATACTATTTTTTTTTACTACTGACCTGTAGGTTTCGCAGTGGGTTGACAATGGCGCAATAACGATCCGCGGACAACGCAGTCAGCGTGAATACCGACACGCCAATAGACAGATCGCGAACGAACTCCGATAGGCGGCAGACTGCGCCGCCCCATGGCCAGGATGGAAGAGTGTAGACTATTGATGTAAACGGAACAGAGGTCAAGATGACTAGCAGGTCGGCCAAGGCTAAAGACAGTATGTATCTGAAAATTAATATTTTATTTTTTATGCTTGGACTGAACAGACAGATGTCTTAAACGCTATTGCATTATTAATGAAAAGTATTTGGTTTTTATCTACTTTTTATAATAAATATTACGCAATTCAAATTAATACAGAGTTATTAAAATCATAAAAAATCCACATATGTTTTAACATCCGGTAGTATAAGTTACAGTAAGCGCAATCAAGCGATTTTTTTTATATATCTTTACTTTTCAAAGCCTTCTATATATATATATATATATTATATATATATATATATATATATATATATATATATATATATATATATATGTTTGTATAGAATTTTTCATCCACAAACTCATGAGCACATTTAACCGATTTGAATGATTCAGAAACCATTCGATTTCTATTGATACATAGTTGTGCTTTTTAAACTTTGACAAAGGCAGGTCCAGGCTATCAAAAATACGGGTCAAAACAAGCAGAAAATAAATTTCAGTATTTGAGCAAAAGAAGCATATTATGAGAATGATTCAAAAAGAATTCTACCAGTAATGACAGATTGAAAAACTGATTACATTTTTAGAAAGGTTGTTCCATTGATTCTGGACATGCATAATTTAAAAAAAAAATTGCCATTTAGTGGTAAAAAATTATATTTGGATACATACAAATTAAATTATAAACTATTATAAAAAGATTTTTATTATAAGTACAAATTTTGTTTCCATTTGCTTCGATTCCGTACTAATAATTATTATTTTTAACTTCCCGTAGTTAAAAGGTAGTATATATTGTAATCGTCCAAGAATCGAAATTGACAATTTTTACATTTCTCTACGTTTTGAAGGTTTCTGAACATTTTGGTATACCTCAGATAAAATGGATGTGTGTGTGTGTATGTATGGATGGATACAAATTTTCGTTCTCGTTTTCGGGCGCACGGATCAACCGATTTGAATGGTTCAAAAAACATTCGATTCCTATTGATAGGGAGATGTGCTGATTAATTTTTGACAAAGGCAGGTCCAGCCGTTTCAGAGATATGGACCAAAGAGTACAGAAAATAGAAATCGAGTTTTTAAGAGATCGGAGCATCCGATTTGAATGATCCAAAAACCTTCAATTCGTATTGACGGGTGATTAGTTTTTGGCAAAGGCAGGTTCAGCGATTTCGGAGGTACAGAGCAAAATATGCAAAAAATAGCAGTTTTTAAGAGAACTAAGCGTCCGATTTAAATGATTCAAAGAACTTTCTACTTGTTTTAACAGAATAATTGCTTTTGGAGTTCTAATATACTTTAAACAAATATTTTCAACTTTGCAATTCAGTTCATATAATTCTTATAAATATTAGACAATGTTACAGTATTTATTGAAAATGAAAATTTCTGCATATGTTCACGTTTTGAAGGTTTCTGAATATTTTGGCATGTCTTAGAAAAAATTAATCTATGTGTGTGTGTGTGTATGTTTGGATACGATTTTTCGTCCACGATTTCGGGGGTACGAATCAACCGATTTTATTGATTCAAAGAGCATTCGATTTCCATTGATGATGAAGTTTATTTATACGGTTCAAGCAAATTTCAAAATTTTGATAAAAAAAAATTTTCAAAATTTTTAAAAATATAAAAAGCTTTATACTTCAAATATGAATTTTAAATTCACAATTCAGTTTGAAAATATATGTATTTCAAATGCGTTATTCTAATTGTAAGAAATATATCCTCAGATGGATTTATTCGGCACCTCTTGCTAATGTAAACTTTCTCTATACAAGTGTTTTGAGCGATAAGTTCACGTTCAGTTGAGCGATCGTCACTGTGAACGATAAAATATATAGTGATCATAATAATCTATTTAAAATGTTTAAAACAGTTGTTATTGATAATTGATCAACATTTATTGATTACTGATGAAACGTAAAGTACCAGCAATTTGCCTTAAGGCACGATGCCATGCGCCTCACTAGTTTTGTCTTGACGTTTCAAACCATTTTGACATGTATGAGATTAAGATAGGTAAAGCATACAAACTCGCAACGATCGGATGAGCCATTTCTTTACAAATAGCAGAAAAGTTTTTTTAAGATTTTTTCTACATTTTAGCCAAAAATCATATACCAATTTTAACAATTCAAATACCCTTCGTAATATATCAGACGAGAATCGTGCCGATTATAAAAAGTTTTTGGTAAGCATTGTCTGCACTGCTTCTTTGTAATTAATTGTTCAATTTTTAACTTTCCGTAGGGCAAGGTATAGTAATCGCAAAAAAATCGTGAATGAAAATTTTTATATATCTTTACGTTTTAAAGGTTTCTGAACATTTTGGCATACCTTAGAAAAAATGTATGTATGTGTGTGTGTTTTTGTATATGTGTATGTGTATGTGTGTGTGTAACTTACTTTTTAAAAGAACGGAGCGTTCGATTTTCAAAATTCAAAAAGCGTTTTTTTATTTTTATTGACAAGATGAATAACTGATTAAATTTTTGGGAAGGCAGGTCTAGCGGTTATAAACTCTCAATAAAAATAACTTAAAAAAATGCCATTTAATGGTCAAAAATGTTACGAAAATTAAAAAAAAATGGAATATTTTCAAAAAATTTCAAATTCTCAAAATATTTTAAAAAAAGTTTTTTTTTTTAATTTCAAAAAAATTTAAACTTCGAAGAAAATTTGAAAATTTTGAAATTTGAAAAAAATTCTAAATTATCAAAAAATTTCTAAATTATCAAAAAATCAAATTCAAAAAAAAAAATTGACTCTTGTTAACATACCCATAAGTTGTTTATAAAATACGCTCATCGCCCAAAGCACTTATAAATTTACAGTATGTATTTGTAATAAATAATTTATTTGATAATTTTCAGATCAATTATTGATTATTTTCATTCTTCGAATGTTTATTTACGGTACGGAAAGTTCCAGCAATTTGCCTTAAGGCATGATGCCATGCGCCCCACTAGTTTTCAAAAGTTTTAAAATCTCAAAAATCTTTTTTTTCGACTTCTAAAAGATTATTGAATCTTTACTAAAAATTTTAATTTTTGGTACGGGAAGTTCCAGCAATTTGCTTTAAGGCATGATGCCATGCACCACTAGTGTCGTTTTTATCTTTACTAGTTGCATGGTAAATGTTGCAACTAGACCAGTCAAATGATGAACGATTTTTACTAGATTCGGTCGAGGAATAGTTGCATCATCACAAGTGGATCTTAGGATATTTTAATTCCAATTAAAGATGATTTCCAGAGCACGGATTACCTGATTTGAACAATTCAAATAATTTGTTTTTTCTATTGATGGGTGGACGTGTTGATTAGTTTTACGCAAAGGAAATACACACACACACATACATCCATTTTTTCTGAGGTATGCCAAAATGTTCAGAAGGTTCTGAAACGTGAAGATATATAAAAATTTTCATGTTCGATTTTTTTTTTTGCGATTAGTATAACTTGCCCTACGGGAAGTTAAAAATGCCATTTGGCGGTTAAATATATTTATTAGACATATGTAAATCAAATTATTACATATTTTATGGAGATTTAAATAATGTGTACACATTTTGTGTATTTTTTTGGTGTTCCGTACCAAGATTTTTAATTTTAAAATTTACGTATATGGTTCAAACAAATGTCCTCAACATTTTCGACAGTATGGAATAACGGATTTGAATAATTTAAAATACATTCTATTCGTATTGATAAGGAGACGTGCTGATTAGTTTATAGGCATAAACAGGTATAGCAGTTTCGAAGATAAGGGGCAAAAAGACCAAAAATGTTAATTCAGTTGTTGAGAGTACGGATCATCCGTTTAAATTAATTCAAAAAACACTTTGCTTGAGTGAACGGTGTGCAAAATATCCTTTTACAGAAAATTTCGTAATTTTAAAAATTAAAAAAAAAATTCAAATTTAAAATATTAAAAAAAATCTAAATTTTGAAAAGTTTCAAAAAATATCAAAATTTAAAAGAAAAAACGATTTCTTACAAAAATTTGAGAATATTTCGAAATTTTCAAAAAAACTAAATATTTTCAAAAATTTTCAAATTCTCATTAAATTAAAAAAAAAACGTTTTTCTTTTTAAATCCAAAAAATTTCAAACTTCTAAAAAAATTTTAATTTTTTCTAAATTATCAAAAGAAATTTGATTTCTTAAAAAAAAAGAACAAATTTCTTATAAACATACACAAAGTTGTCTGTTGAATACGCTCGTAGCCTAATTTAAAAAGCACTTATAAGTTCACAGTAAGTATTTATAATAAACTAGCTGACCCGGCAAACGTTGTTTTGCTAAGTAAGGTATATTCTAAACAATTTCTAGAGAATCAAAAATATTAATACTTTAAGTGTATAAGGAATTGTTATTTGAATGCTATATACAATGAGGTATTATCCAAACAATAAACCTCATTAGTTTGTCTATATTTTGTCAATACCATCAAACTGGGAGTTTTATACACTTTCTATAGAAATCATGGTATAATCTATTCCAAGTCTTTTTTGGCATAATAAGGTTATTTTTCAAACTGTCTTTTATTACTAAAATGTAGTATAAGCTAACAAAATGATAATTTCACAATATTCAAATGCCAAAACACAATATTTTAAAATTTTATGGGCATTTTAGAGCAAATGCGGTTTTAGTTGAAGTGTCAATTCGAACGATGCATATGAGAAAATAAAGCACTCATCTGTATATCGTGCGCGTGTTGTGACTTTGTAAATTTAATATCAAGATGATAGTTGCTCTACTGCTCCACTTCTCACAAAGGATTTGTATTTCGTACTAAAGAAGAAACATATTAAAATTTAACAATTACGCACTTCCACTCACAAATACACACACACACACACACACACACATATATATATATATATATATATATTGTGACGGATTAGAGGGGTGATACTCCCTTTCTTAGGGTATATGCAACGACTACCATTATTACATCATAGCGTTGCATCCCCATTAAGAAAGGGTTACAACAACTCCTTAACCCGACTTCTTTAAACACCCTGTAATTACCTGTGGAAAAGCCAACTAACTACGCGAATGAAACAGAATGTACTTCTATCTTATTTAATTATCACTAATTATTATTACAATTCTACGGGCATGGCTGTGCCCACGCACAGCCATGTTCTATACTTAAACTCTAACGTACTGATAGATTATTACTAATTACTATACTAGCGGAGTATAGTATCACGGCTATAAGGGAGTATACTAAACGGATAACTTATATATATATATATATATATATATATATATATAATTTAGAAATATTTACAAACAACACCCTTTTTTGCACTAATTTAATAAATAATAATTTTCACAAACGTTTCGAGACTAGGTTTGTCTCATCATCAGTGTGTTATAATTTAAAATTTAAAATATGGAAATCTAAATTAGCATTTTGTGTATCGAGCGACTTAATCGAGCAACGTATTGGATAACACAAAATGCTAATTTAGATTTATATATATTATTGTGTAATAGCAATCGATAATGCTGCATTGTATAATAGCAATGCTGATATGCCAAATTCGATATCGATTGCAGTAATTATCACAATCAGCAAATATTTTAAATACGCCATCGTAAGGTGTTTGCAGTCCCACTTAAGCAGTATATAAAGAGTACTGAGTTGAAAGTCAGAGTTGTCTTTATTACATCAGAGTTGTTTTAATTATATCATAGTTGCCATAGTTACATCAGAGTTACTGTAGGCCACAGCATAGTTGCTGTTGGCCTCAGCAGAGTCGCGGTATTAGTCGTATAAAGATCATTGTTAATCATTGTAAGTAGGTGCTAATGAAGTATTGTTAAAAATAGTCAATCAGTGTTGTTCTTTAGAAGTGACAAGATATTTCAGCCTTAATAAGAACTCAAGGCAATCCGAAGCCTACTATTACTATAACCACCGCTCGGCAAGGCTGTCAATACAAACCACGTTACCAACAACCCCATTACATTTCAATATATATATATATATATATATATATATATATATATATTGTATGATGTTGACATACATATCAACAAAGTCTAGTAATCGGGCATAACATCAATTAAAAACATAAATTTCTTTCAAAAATTTATTTTAAATCTATACGTTTCGGCTATAATCCTACCCTTCATTCTGTGAAAACTAAAAATAAAATTAAAAACTTAAAACAATTAAATTGGAGTGAATATATAAAATAAAAAGAGTAAATAGTACTTATAATTAGTTAAGCTTAGTGTTAAATTGGAAGATTTTAATAATTCATGGTATCAGAATATGGTAATGCACTACACTATGTAATCTAAGTTAATCTTTAATTTTTCCAAACGTTTCGACATCGTATTTCATGTCATCATCAGTGGATGTATAGAATGAACATTGAAAAATTAATATATACTAGGAAAAAATGACAGAAATTGGACAAAAAACTATAGATACAAGCATTATAATTATAACAACAACAGATAGACAAACATAAGAAATGAAAGGCAAAAATAAATATATAAAAACCTACCTATATATAGATATATATATATATATATATATATATATGTATATATATATATAGGTATATATATATATAGATATATATATATATATATATATATATATATATACAGTGATGTTGCCGGGCCGGAACGCGCCTAAAAACCTACCTATATATAGATATATATATATATATATATATATGTATATATATATATAGGTATATATATATATATATATATATATATATATATATATATATATATATATATATATATATATATACAGTGATGTTGCCGGGCCGGAACGCGCCGGAACGTAATTTTTGGGCACAGAAAGTGATTTAATAAATGAATTTTATAAATTATAATTTGGCTAATTTTTATTAAATTTCCTATTATTGTAATAAACATACATATATGTGCACAAAATGAGTTTTGTAATGATTTTCGTTTCTTTCCTTTACGAACGGAACCGAAACAAACATGCGAACCGTTTTTTTGAACCGGTTTTTTATTTTTAGCGTTCCGGCAAAAAAAAATATTAACACAACACCACTGTATATATATATATATATATATATATCGTATATATATATATATATATATATATATTTCGTATATATAAATCGTATATATATATATATATATATATATATATATTTGAAAAAAAATTACTTTGAAAAACTATTGACATAAAATTACTTATTTGAAAAAAAAACGTTTTTGAAAATAAAATGTTTTTTTATTTTGAAATATTTTGTGAATTCTGAACTTTTTTCAAAGCAATATTACTGCTTTAACTGCATAGAGATGAAATATCAAAGAGCGTAAGCGCCGCGTCGCCGTCTAACGGATAAACATTGGTACGGAACCCATAGGAATCTAAACAAAATTTATATTTTTTGTTAAAATCTCTATAAAATATCTGATAATTTGATGTGCATATGTCTGATGTTCATTTTTGACCGCCAAATGGCTTTTTTTTACTTTTTTTACTAGATCTCCGAAACCGCTAGACCTGCCTTCATAAAATTTGATCAATTCTTCATCTTGTCAATAAAAGTTAAATGTTTTTTGAATTATTAAAATCGGATGCTCCGGTCTCTTAAAAACTGAGTTACCGTTTGTGGCACTTTTTGCCCCGTATCATCAAAACGGCTGGGCATGCTTATGCCAAAAACTAATCAGCACGTCTCTTTATCAACAACAATCGAATGTTTTTTGAATAATCGAAATCGGTTGAACCGTGTTCCCGAAATCGTCGACGAAAATTTGTATCCGCACACACACACACGCACACACACACGCACACACATACATACACACACACTTACATCCATTTTTTCTAAGGAATGCCAAAACGTTTAGAAACCTCTGAAACGTAAAGATATATAAAAATTTTGATTTTCGATTTTTTTGCGATTACTTTAATTTACCCTGCGGGAAGTTAATAAAGAAAACATTTTTTTTCAAAGCTTTATTTCTAAAGAAGTAAATTTTTGTCAAAAATTTACAGTTTTTCAAAAATCTATTTTTTTTAAAGTAAATTTTTTTTCCAAAATCTTAATCTTTTAAAAAAAATAATAATTGTTGGTACAAAAAGTTCCAGCAATTAGCCTTAAGGCACGGTGCCATGCGCCCCACTAGTATTATTTTATTTTCTGGCACATCTTAGATGCTTTTTGGCAATAATAATGTATTCATTATATTAGTAGTAGTATCATATATTCGAATATTATCTAGGCTCATAATATCAGTTAAATTCTAATTTCAAGTGAATTGACATTTCAAGCAGATTACAGTCCAAAGGTTTTTAATATCAAACAATGATAAGTGTTTTTTTTTTGTAATTTCTAACTTCCCGGACAGGACAAGTTATAGTCGTCGTAAAAAAATCGAAAATGAAAATTTTCATATATCTTTACGTTTCAAAGGTTTTTGTAAATTTTGGCATACCTTAGAAAAAATGGATGTATGTGTACGTGTATGTGTATGTATTCGGATACAAATTTTCGTCGACGATTTCGGGAACACGGTTCAACCGATTTGAATAATTCAATGAACATTCAATTCGCATTCATAAGGAGACATGCTGATTAGTTTTGGCAAAGGCAGGTCTAGCCGTTTTGAAGATACGGGGCCAAAAGTGCCAAAAATAATAATTCAGTTTTTAAGAGAACGGAGTGTCCGATTTTAATCATTCAAAAAACATTTTACTTGTGTTGACAAGATAAAGAACTGATTAAATTTTTGGGAAGGCAGGTTTAGCAGTTATGGACTCTCAATAAAAATAAGTATAAAAATTGGTAAATAAAAGTAAATCATTTGGCTATTAAAAATGTTTATTGGACATATGTACATTAAATTATCAGATATTTTATAGATATTTTAATATTGTGTACACATTTTGTGTAATTCTTTTTGGGTTTCGTACCAAGATTTTTATTGTTGAAGTTTATTCATATGGTTTAAACAAATATCCTCGACATTTTCTACAGTATGGAATAACCGATTTGTATGATTAAAAAATCATTCCGTTCGTACACGATCGCGAGGCGCTTTTGCAAAAGACAATTTTGCCGTTTCGGAGGTATGGAGTACAACGGTTAAGCAGTTTTTGAGAGAACGGACGATTCAAACAAAAACATTTTGCTTGAGTAGATGGTGTGCAAAAAATGCGTTTACAGAAAATTTAGTAATTTTGAAAATTTAAAAAAAATCAAAATTTTCAAAAATATCAAAATTCCAAAAAATTTTTCATCATTTTCAAAAAAATAAAATAAATTTTGAAAAATTAAAAAAAAATGATTTCTTACAAAATTTTATATTTCGAAAATTAATCGAAATTCGAATATTTAAAAAAATTCCAAATTCTCAAGATATTTAAAAAAAACAATTTTTGTTAATTTCAAAAAATTTTAAACTTCAAAAGAAATGTCAAAATTTTGAAATAATTTATAAATTATCAAGAAAATCAAATTTAAAAAAAAAAAGATTCTGGTAAACGTACACATAAGTTGTTTATAAAATACGCTCATTGCCCAATTTAAAAAGCACTTATAAATTTGCAGTATGTTTTTATGGTAAATAATCTATTTGCAAATCTTCAAAACAACTATTGATTATTTTCATTCTTCGAGTGGTTAATTACGGTACAGGAAGTTCCACCAATTTGCCTTGAGGCACGATGCCATGCACCGCACTAGTTGCCATTTATTTCTACAATATTACTATAGTTTCTTATCTTAAAAAAATCCTTTGACAAACTATAAAAAGAAATATCAAAATCCGAATAAACGTTTAGAAGAAGTATCAAATCGTACACAAAAGAATTTTATACATTGAACTGTAATAACAATTCGAATCATTATTTTGTTTAATAATTACAAAACGCGTTGCTAGTTATATGTAGGTTACGCGGACATCGGAAGTGCTTACTGTTGGATTTTGTAAATAGATTGTAAACAATAAATTAGTATATAAGAGTTAGACAAAAGTTAGACAGGCAGTCAAACCTGGAGAGACAATCAGTCAAACTTGGAGTCAGACTCGGAGGCAAGCATAGAGTTAGTCATACATAGTATTCAGTAAAATGTAGTCTTTGCTGATATGATAACCAAAAGGTTATCAACAAATATTAATTGTAAAAATAGTGAATAATAAAGTATCATTCAAAGAAAGAAGTGTGTTTGCAAATTACTACCAAATCGTTGTTCGTCCTAAAGGCCTTTCACACTACCAGTGGACTCTGGAGAGTCCACATCACAAATATAATATTTCAACAACTATGCAACTGTTCACCGCTCGGGTCAAGCCTATCATTACAATTCCTGGTTGTACTGGTGATCCAGAACATACCTCCCAATATATCAACCACCAGTCAGGACAATTCATGATGGCTTAGCGGTTTTTTCCCTCGTAGCGCTGAAAAATTTTCTGACGGAGACATCGAGTTCAAAGCTGCCACAACTCGATAAACCGAACGATCATTCGCAGCACAAACTAAGGGATGGTGGCGCCTACCGAAGAACTTTAGAACGAACGCGAGACTACGACTAACTTGGACATAACTATCTCATCGGATTCAAGTAAGCAAATCGAAATTTAATCATATCTCAAGATGGAACCCATTTTTGAAGAAGCTAGAAAAGGTAAAGATAATAGTATAGAAATAAATAAATTTAGAATTCAATTAGCAATTAGCACTATACCTGAATTCAATGGCAATTCAGATGACCTTTATAGATTTTTAAATACTGTAGACTCAATTTTAGATGATGTAGATTTTAAGACATATAAATTTA